ACCTGGATTGTGTTAGAATTTTGTATTATCTATTGTTCTAATAAATTCTGAGCGATAGTGTTAATGTTTGTTTTAGAAGGTCTATTCAACATAAGTCTCTTTCCCATAAATGACAAATAAGTTTTCTAAAAATCCTATTTTGGACAAAACACAAAGGAAAAACAAAATCATCCGATGCACAAGTGCCTGATGAGAGATTACTTTGAAATATTTGATATAAGGACAATTCTATTACTGAAAAACAAATTTGGTAAGACATTTTAGAAAAGCCCTGTTTTGTTTTTAAAATAAATTGCATTGTGTTCTGAATGCTTCAAGGAGTTGTTCAGGTTGAAATCCACACCTCACCAGGGTTGATGTGCAAATATTAAGCTAAATTAATTCAATTTTCCCCAACAAAGCCTTGTTTTATTCCCCATAAAATTCCACAAAAACATTTTTCCAGTAATTTCAGAAATGTTTCCTCCTTCTGATATCAAAAATATTAAATAGACAGAGAATTTCTTTTGAACTTTATTGCATCTACATTGTTTTCACTTTAAACATGAAAACATTGGTTTGCTTCTTGGACATTTAAATGTGCTCTCATTACTTGAAGACCAATTTGCTAATTTTTTTTCTCATTTCTACTCGTAAGAAGAGAAAATTAATAAGGCAAATGTACAAAGGCCCTCGAGGACAGAAAGATGAGAGCAGCACATTTAGAAAACTCATACAAAGATAGGACTTCCTTCTCCATTAAATATCCAGAAAGAAAAAAAAAAAAACCAAATTTTTTTCTAGAGTGAGCAAGCAAGAGGACTCTTTCCACATCCCTCACCTTATCACTTCTTTTTGTGGTCTTTCTGCAAGAAGACCACTAATTACCACACTCAGAACAAAGAGACCTGAGCTGAGAGGAGCTACTTTTCATTCAGCACTGTTCCACCATCAGCAGCAGCAAAATGAAGTCAACTTGAGCAGAGGCAAATAACTATACCCATTATAAAAAAAAAAAAATTATTTTTTCTGATATTAAGATATTACTCTTGCAGTTTAAGATAAGTTTATCCTGTTAAACAACATTAAGCTTTGTAAGGCTCCAAGCTATGAGCTCATTGAAGGGGTTTTTACTTAAAAAATATACAAGGCTTCAGAAATTTGCCCATCAAATTTATTAAAAGAGCCTTCAATTCTTTGAATGTCTTAAGAGAGAGCACAAAGGAGAAGACACCACACACATTTTCCCAGAAGGTCAAAAATAACACGCTTTTCCTGGCAAACTTTAGAAAATAAGGGAACTTGGTAAAAGTTTAAAGGTCAACATTCAACCCAAATAAAGCATTCCACAAAGCATTGACTCAGCACATGCTAACCCATACAACTTAGCAAAATCCAGCCCATCCAGCTTTGAGTTACCCAAAATACTAAGAAAGGAGATTAGGAGAAGAAGTAAAGGAAGGGAGAGAAAATGAGAAAATTATAGCTACCCACTGGAGTCCTATGCAAGTTCCACATGTCCAGATGACAGGGTTCAAGCAAACACAAGAGAGCACATGGTGCTGCTTTTATTTGTGTTGGTTCCCCATGGCCACAGCCCCCACCCCAGGTGAGGCTTCCAGGTGTGCCCATCAGTCTGGGGCTGGGTCAGGGGCCCTGGAGTGTGGCATGGGCAGTGCTCCCATGGCAGTGCTCCTTTGGCTGACAGCTGCTCCAGGGATGCCCAGGGAGACACCAAGAGGCGGGGGTATGGAATAGGGCATCACCTCACCTTCATGAAATTTGACCTGTCCCTTCCCCACACACAGGCACACACTTGAGTTGGTCCAAGCCAATACTTAATATAATAATCCAGTGTCCAAATGCCTTTAGTCTCAAAATTATTTTGACCATTTAGAATCAATGTAGTTAAGCAATGTAAGGAGAAAAAGAGTCCACAATCAGTTTTAGGAATATCTTGTCCCCTCTGATGGCAAATTCATACTCAAAACTGGCACTTTGGAAGTCCAAATACTAAACCTTACTGGGTTAGGGCTTATGGTTTTCACTTAAATTGTAATGCTTTCCTCTTTTCTTCCCCAAGGCATGGCAAAATACCCTGCCAACAAGTATCTTGTCTCTCAACACACATCATAATACCAGCCAAATCTAGTTTCTTCCTTGTGTTTTTGCAGACAATATAATTTTTCTTGCCTTTCTAAAGTACATTCAACAAGTTTTACATACTTCTTCACAATCTTCATACCTTGCCACTCAAACATTATTACAATCACCTAAAGACCAGAAGAGCCAACTTTGAGGAAGAGGAGCAAAAAAATCTGTACACGGTATAAATGTAACAACAGATTTAATAAAAATATAAATGCTCAGAACAGAGCAGAAATAGGTCTGCACCCTCAAAGATTATAAGATTTGCAAAAAAGGGCTATCAGACTTTTAGCTTGAGAGTATTTGCTAAACAAAACTCCTGAGTCAGAGCCACTATAGCATCAATCTGGATATGTTGAAGCTGTGGCAACTATGAAAAAAAATATTGCAAGCAGAAAAACAGACTCCTCCTCTCAGATTATTTTATATATATATATATATGTATATATCAGAGTTCTTTGTCTTATTCCCATTGTGATGCCTTACACCAATCTGTTTGTTGCAGCCAAAAACCTCTTCCTGACATGAACTTTCTTTCCTATCTAAAGGGAAATAGTTGGCTTCGTACAGCTTAAAGTTTAATTAGGCACCCTCTGGGACTTCTTCTGATCCAAAATGCAATGCCTCCTAGGCAACCCCAAGCATTCACATACTAAACAGCCCTCTCAGCCAAGGGCAGCAATCGGCCTGAGCCATAAGGAAAAACATTGTGCCGAAATCTCTAGCCTCGGGTGGGAGGGTTGCAGGAGAGTCATCAAGAGTGCAGGTGCAAAAAAAAAGGTGAGGTGAATGCTCCAGCTAATTACTGAAGGGGAGACCTGAGTAGGCAAAAGGAAGGAGTCCATTTTCCACTCTCCTGGGACAAAAGCAGACCAGTCATCAGCATGACACCACTAGTCTTTGTGCCAGTTTTCTTCGGATTATTACACAGAATGAAGGGAGAAAAGGAAATTCTGACCCAGGTTTCAAAAAAAAAAAAAAAAAGCTTTCTGAAGGGATTGCATCTGTAATGATATTTTAACAGTGCTTAAAGAGGACAGTGATTCACCACAGGTCAGTTTGCTGGCTGAGACTTTGCTGATAATATTTTTCTTAGAGGGCTGCCAAAAAAGTGTTGAATCCTGTGAGAGACTGAAAGAAATTCAATGGCTCAAAACAACTCTGGGGGAGAGGGAGCAGATCAGGTTCTGCCAAGGTGGAATGGTGCTCTGCCCCCACACCTTGCCTCCTTGGGAGCTTCTAGTGCAGCTGTCAGTCACTATGCTGGTAGCTATAATTCTCTCTTTCTCACTCACTCTCTTTCTTTCTCCTTATTCTCCTAATTCCCTGTTCTTGATATTTGGGTAACTTAAACTTGGGTGGGATGGAATTTGCTAAGCTCTGTGAAATGTTTTATGTTGATTGAATATATTTGCTTTAAACTTTTGCCAAGTTCCCTTATTTTCCAAAGTTTACCCATAAAAGTGTGTTATTTTGATCTTCTGAAGACATTGTCACATTTTCCCTGTGCGTGGCCTCAAGGTATAAAAGCACACAAGGCCCTTTTAATAAATCCATTGGGTGGATTTTGGGTGCCTTGTATCTTTTTGGTGTAAACTCCCTTCAATGGGCTCATGGGGCAAGCCTGGGGTCTTACAAATTCCCTCAGCAGAGTATTAATCCCCCTGTTACACTACCTCCTAGAGAACCATTCCCAGAACCTTTTATGAGCAATAGTTCAGGTCCACAATGTCAGAGAGGTTTTAAAGTCATTATTCATGTTTATTGAAAAGCTTTCACTGAAAACTTTGTCTTCTGGGAATGGAATTCACAGCCATATGTAGGACTTCCTCTTTGCTATTACAAAATAACTAAATATGTAGAAAAACAAAACAAAAGTAAATTGGTTTTATGTTAGATGGAAGTTGAAACATTAATGTAGCAGCATTCACACAGACACTGGTCAACTTTCATTGCTTAATTTGTGGTCAAACAAGCCTCATCTTCCTTGGGTTTCCACTTTCAGACTCTTCATGCACATTAAATTAAAAACTTTTAAAAAATTAAACTACAAAACAAGTCAAAAAACCTAATCCTTTCTTTAGCAGCAAAGACAAGGTTCTTCCTGGCTACTCTACAGGGATTTAAATATGTCAGCACAAGGTGAAGAAAAGAGTTGCAAAAACTTACTGACTGCATTTTGATCTAATTCTCTAATTCTCTATTTTTAAATGGCAACACCAGTGTTTGAACTCCCAGAGGCACAGATATCAGGCTTCAGAAAACAAACTTCATCAAACATTAAACACTTCAGTCTGCACAAGATTAAGAAGGGGGCTTTTTATAAATCCTTCTTATATTCAGGATCACTAACACCAGCAGGGAATTTGCTCTTAGTATTAACGAAGGTGAAATTACTAGGCAATTACAACATACTAAAATACTTTTTAATTACTACTTTGGCTAATTATTATAATAATTATTACTAGGCTTCCTGACAGCTCAAAGGACAAGATTGGTTTGGAAAGTATGAAAAAAACCACCCGATATTTTTCTTTTCACATGTTTCATCAATGCCAAGACCTTTTGTACCTACATAAATATTATATTTTTAATCAAAAGTGCGGCTAACCCAATCATGAAGCTCAAAGCATGAGAAAAAACGAAGTATGGCCCCTCTTCCCTTGGACACCTGCTGAAGTGAAAAATCTGTCCTCTCGGAGGCAGTGGGCACAAGGACAGCATGGCAAAGCAATAGATTTTATTTTATTTTTTTTTAATGGAGATTCCACCCATACATCACCAGGAATCTCCTCTCTGATGAAGAACCAGATGCCAATCTGGATTTCAAACTAGGGGTGAACCCACATCCCATTTATGCTTGATTTATCCACTTTTTTTTTAGCCTTATCCTTCAAATGTAGGAACTCCTTATTGATGACTTCGTGGAGGGAAACTCCTTGATGTCTTTCCCAGCAGTCACACTGAGTGTAAGCAGAACCATGGCTACTCTAGCACCAACTGAGAAGGCTCCTCTCCAAGAACAAAGAAGTTTTCCTCTCACTTACTCCACATACTGCCATATCACTGGCCACAGTAACAAATTATCATACTCAGTTCAGTACTGGCTGACCTTGACAGTTGCATCCTAGAAAGACAAAGGGTAAATGAGTTGAATGTACTTTGAATAAAGAAAATCATTCAAATAGAGAAAGGTAGAGCTACAAAGGTGAAGCTTTCATGGAAAAGCCACTGATGTTGATGGAGAGTGTCCCACAGACTTCATTTGGCCCTGGGGTCCAGCTCTAAATGGCTGCATGAGAAAATGAGCATTTTCGTAATTATTTGAAGTTAGGTTACAATAGGAAGATGCATCAGTGGCTGTTCTCAAGGCAAGCAGCATGTCACCACCCCAACATGCCTGCTGGGGAACAAAAATGTAGGGGTATCCCTCTTTATAAAGCAACAATCATCTTTAGGGACAAAAATGTCCGTAATGGTCCGGGGAGGATGTGGGTATTGCCTTTTACACACGGAACCCCCCAAGGTCATGGCATTGTAACATGCTTAGTCTCCCTTTTCTTCTACTGAGTGTGATATCCCACCACTATTAGGACATTTTACTTTTTTCAATAATAAATATTTTTATAAACCTGTCCTCTCTTCCTTCTCTATTTTCTCCATAAATGACACTTCGCTTTCTCTTGCTAAACTGTTCCATTCTCCCTGATGTGATGCCACGGCACCACTGGGCTTAGCATCAGCCTCCCTGATCCTTTTCTCAGCTGGCTTTAAATCACACCAGCTGAAATGACTGTTCTCTTGCTGCACAACAGTGCCTATAGGAAGCAAAAGCACACCACCACTGAGGTGAGAGAGGGGAGATTTCTTCTGATGTCCACAAAGGCAATTACCGCCTAGAAGAGCTTCCTGCTTCAGCTAAGCCTGGTTTTATCAGACATACTTCTGAAAAGAGGCAAATTTCATCCACTTTGTCAGAAAAATGTATTAGTTATAGCAGAAATACAATATTTACAACTATTTATGATTTAAAGTTGTTTCTTCAGGTTCAAACAGAGGAATTTTTTGGATGATTCCAGGAAGGGCGGACAAATCTATTCCCCATCTGACAATATCTACTTCAGCTGCTACCATTTGTTACTATTTTGTAGATCATTTGTAAAATAGTTTATCAAAAGGATTTTCTTCTAGTTACTTACTTTTAGGGCTGCTCTTTCATAATTATTTTTTCACAGCTGAACCCCAATAAACTATTATCTTTTCCCTCTCCTATTCCACTTACCAGAAACATCAAAGGCAGATCAGTAACAAGCTGATGAAAACCAACAGCTTGCTGCTTCTGGGTTTTGCTTCTGTATCTAGCTCTATTTATTCTGCAAGAAGAAAAAAAGATTCTGTTTTAATCCCTTTTCTATGTAATCTCAGAGCAGTTCCTCCCCAATTCACAATGCCTTGTGTTGTGAAACACCTTTCTATTGGTTTAGATTCTATAAGGCAAGTCATGCACACCCAGATATCTCTCTGCAAGTTAAAGTCAGATTGTAACATTTAATTCTACTGTCTTCATTGTGACTTGATTTGCATGCCTTGACATATTTTGTGTACATCTCAAGGGCCAAGCATGAGAGAGAATGGGTTTAGATAGGATATTAGGAAGAAATTCTTCATTGTGAGGGTTTTAAGGCACTGGCACAGGTTGCCCAGAGAAACTGAGGGTGTTCCATCCCTGGAAGTATTTCAGGCCAGGCTGGATGGAGCTCTGAGCAACCCTGTCCAGTGAAAGATGTCCCTGCCCACAGCAGGGGGGACTGGAACTACATGGTGTTTAAGTTCCCTTCTAACCTAAACCATTCTGTGATTCTGTGTTGAATAAAATCAAATATACATATTTCTTAATAGTTCTGTGGCAAATTAATTCAATCAAAAAGACATGGCAAATGAAACCTGGGGTACATATTGCAGATAAAATGTTGCACCTACACATTACAAGATTTTTATTACATCATAACTGCAAATTAGTATTTTCTTCCTGTGCCTCTGCTCAGTTAATTGAATAGGATATAGCAGTTCATTATGATTGTATGGTTTGCCTTAATGGCTTCACTGTCCTTGTCTACAGCTCCATCACTCTATAGCAGCTGGTCCACACAGAACTCTTCCTTTTAACAAAGTGATCACAGAAGCTCCCGAGTTATTCACTGCAAGATCAAATATTGCTCTCCAACATTCTTCCTCCTTCCTCATTTTTTCATACTCATTTTTTTCCTCTCAGACCCTCATTTGTTACAAGATTTCTTTGACATTCATTTTTCCTCACTTTAAGCCATGAGTTTGCAGTGATGCTCTTTGACAGACTTCCACTGTGCCATAGAAAATTCCTGAAGAAGTTATCCTGCCTGTAATAAATGCATTTGTAACCAAAAGATGGTCCTAAATTACAAAATACTCTCTACTTTTAGAGAGGAGCTCAAATGAGCCTGAATTTTGCAAGTGGTTCTTCAGTTGACCACAATTCTTATTCTACGTGTTAAATCTTCTTACCTTCTCGCCAGATGACTATTGAAGTTTTTGTGATGTCAGAGTTAGTAAAGCTGGGTGATTTTACCTCTAAGAAAGAGGTAGGGTGCTGGAGGATGTCTGGTCAGCAGCATGCCCTGAAACCGAAGCGTCCTTCCACCATTCCCTTAGAGGTGCCACTCCTAAAAGAAACATGAAGGAAAACTTGCAGATAGCTGTGATATGCATAACATCATTAACACCATATTAATTTAGCCTGTTCAGACCTCATGACACCAATGGTCTTTGTGCTGCTGTACTGTTAACCCTTTTGCGTGAGAACCTAGCTGAGGTTGCAGGACCCCTCAGGTTGTTTCTTAGCTGGCATGCACTCAAGTACTCTTGGGTACTCTTTGCTGCTCTTTTCCTTTCTTTAACCTGACCATCAGCCTTTATCCTCAGCATCCAAAGCACCCCTTGCTCACTGCCAATAGAGAGCTTGGTGCTCCCTCCAGTTCATACTGAGCAAAGCCCTAAGGAATCCCAGACCTTGAAGTAAGAAAAGAAAGCTGGAGAAAGAATGACTTCCCCTTGGTCATAGAGGGTTGAGTTAGAGTTTAGCTACATAGACTTAACACCCATATATCCATGGGCCCTGATGGGATACTCCCACAGGTGCTGAGGGTGCTGGCAAATTTTGTTCCTAAGTCACTCTCCATCATCTCTGAAAAATCATAGACAATGGGAGAGCTGCCCAATCACTGGAGAAAAACCAGTGTTGCTCCCATCTTCAAAAAGGGCAAGAAGGAGGACATCAGAAAATACCAGTCAGTCAGCCTCACCTCCATCTCTGGAAAGGTGATGGAACAGATCATTTTAGAGTTCATCACCAACCATGTAAAAGAAAAGAAGGTCATCAGGAGTAGTCAGCATGGATTCACCAAGGAGAAGTGCTTGGTCAGTCTGATAGCCTTCTATGATGACATGGCAGGATGGGCTGATGAAGGGAGAGTAGTGCATGTTGTCTAAACTAAAATCACCAAGGTTTTTGACACTGTGACCCTCATAAGTAAGCTCAGGAAATGTGGGTTAGAGGGGTGGACTGTGAGGTGGACGAAGAACTGGTTGAATGGCAGAGCTGAGAGCACAACAGGCTGTGCTGCCGTTCAGTGGGACCTTGGTAGGCTGGAGAATTGGGCAGAAAGAAACCTAATGAGGTTCAACAAGAGCAAGTGTAGGGTCCTGCTCCTGGGGAAGAATAATCCCAAACACCAGTACAGGTTGGGGGCTGACCTGCTAGAGAGCAGCTCCTGCAGAAAAGCACCTGGGAGTCTTGGTGGATGACAAGTTGACTATGAGCCAGTAGTGTGTCCTTGTGGCCAGTGGGGACAATGGTGTCCTGGGGTGCATCGGGAAGAGTATGGTCAGGAGGTTGAGGGGATTGATCCTCCACCTCTACTCCACCCTGGTGAGACCACCTCTGGAGTATTGTGTTCAGTTCTGCTCTTCACAGTTCAAGAAATGAATGCCCAGACCAGAACTGAAGACAGAGGGGCTGATTAAATAAACCATTATGGCTGAACCACATTTTAAAATGCACTTTTTTATCTTCTGCTCTCAACTGCAATTTTTTATGTGGAAGCTGGGCTGTGGCCCTAGGCAGTCACAGTAGAAGTATATTACAGGGAATACACTTACAGTGACAGTTATACTCACACTTTCTCCAGAAAAGCACTTCATTTACAAAACAGATTTGACATCTCGGTTTGTTTGCAATGCAGAGCACTCCTCCCAAACGCTCATGTAGCTCTGTGAGCCTTGATTACTTCTTTGATTCCAGCTCTTCCTTAGAGAACTCCAAAATGGAAGTGATGAATGAGCTCCTGTCAGGCGCCATTCCCTGGGTGGCCTTGAATCCATTCAGTTATCTGTTACACTGTCAGCCGTGACAGTGATGAACACAAGGCAGGCAGCTGACAAAACCACTACTCATTACCCAAAAAAGAAAAAAGGAGAAATAGGTGGAAAGAGGTATGCTTGCCACCATTCAATGCGTCACTCCCCCACACTGCCTTCAGAGGACATGTCTGGGGAGGAAATTACGAATTTTGTTTATGCAATTATGTGAAACAGGATGACCAACATCCTTCAGCTCCATCCACTAAGGCTGAGCATCAGGCTGCCCAGTGCTGGCATTTCTTTTTCTTTTGTTTCTTCAACTGTCTGTGGTTCACATTTATCATGGACATGGATTCTGATGGGTTTACCACATAAATGATGACCACAGAGCATTCTGATGACACTTATACTTTCATGTGCCATAGGCACAGTGTCTTTGCTGAGCAAGGAAGAGTCTCCCAAAAGGATGAAAGTTGGGAAGAACTGCTAGCCTGGATTGTCGCAATTATGGCAGATCACAGAGCAGTGGTGGTTTTCTCCATAATCCTAAAGGTTCCTACACATGAACTGCTCCTCTGGGAATTCTCTCTCATTTAGCCTTCAGCACGATGTCTGAACCATTCAGTGCCCTGCTTGGTGACTTACAGCATCAAAACTGACCCATATGAGCTCACAGACAAGTTCCTTCATTAAGAGAGGCTGGCAAGGTGATGTACAGCACTTTCTAAAGCCATCGTGCTTTTCTGAGGACACAGACCAAGAAGGAGACGCAAACAAAGCATTCAGACCTACAACACACAGAATTTTTCATTTTCACCCAGGTGAACGCTGCCTCACCTCACTCTTTCCCTGCATACTCTTCAATTTACAAGACAGTCACACATGCCTGTTTTTATGCCTTAAAACAAGCTGCACACCATTGCACTTTGATTCCAGAGTCACAAGTGTCTCAGCCATAAGGCAGGCTGAAATGCTTCTCTTAAAGCCACTGTGAAAGAAAACCAGGGGAGTTTTGCATTTGAAGTAGAAGTCATTTTCCATCACTAGCATATATAAAATCCAAAACATAGAATTGTGTCCCTCCCCATGTGTCACTTCAGTGTTTCATTTTAAAAAGACCTACGTGATCATTTCCTGTCCTCATGATGACTCAGATTTCCCAAGCCCTCTATCACATTTTGCACCAAGGAAAGCTTATATTAAGCTGCAAAATGAGGAATTGTAAAATAATTCCAGAACAAACACCTTTACAAACAAATGCTTACACTTGGATTTTGCTCAGAGCTCACTGTTTTCATAGAAAATTGAATGAAATGCTTTTGTTTATTTTCACTTTCCCAGAAGGGAGAACTCTCATATAGTTGGGTTTATCCAACTGATACTAACCTTATAAATGAAGGCACTTACTGTTAATCAGCAATCTGAGTTCTATCTGTAGTCACTGAAAAGAAACGTCTCCAAAACCAAATTACATCTTAGGGACAACTTCATCTTAGAAACCCGCAGACCAATGGACTGATCTCTTCAGGTGCTTCTCTCTTGTCTTACTATTAAGCTGACTTAAAAAAAAAGATACTTTATTACAGGAAACAACTGCCCCCTCATTTACAGAAAAATATTACAGCTCTTGAAAATTCCTGAATATTGAATATTTCCTGCACGGAAAGCAACAACTCTGCTTCTCCTGTTCATGTAGGGTAGCCCTTCAGACATTGAAAGAAGTATAATGCAGAAAGTACTGTTGACAAAAAATTTTTGCAGAGGCAATGTAAAAGATCCGCTGGCAAAATGATCCATAGAGCTGCAGTTTTAATTTTATTTCTTTTAATTATTTTGTTTATTTAATACAGCAACATATGCTTTGTCTCTAATCATTTCACAAATAGAAAACCAGCAATACCTCCCTCTGCTGACCTTCCACAAACCACTCAGTAAAACCTGATGACCTTGGTAAAAATGTAATGTAAACCAAAACTCAACTTCTATTCAAATAAATTTGCGTTTAAACATGTATGGAGAAAAAGCAGTTTTCATCAACCTGATGGTCTTACGAGTTCAGCCCTCCGTGCTTATCCAGATGTCGCAACATCCCGTAAGGAAGGTTTGTCTTTCCAGTAGGCAGCTCCCAAGCTGTTCAAGCCTGGGAAAGACTTGTCCTACAAATGGCACGATCGCCCACTGTGCCCAGAGCAAAGACTCAATCTTCTGCACAGATTTAAAATCATCTCTTATTTAGAGTGAGGGACAAGGAAAAAAGGCAGCAATCCACAAGATGTGTGCTGCTGAGAACATAGTACAGAGGATGTTCTCCACTGGATTAACATCTGGCAAACATTGCTCCACTGAGGATACTAAGCCCTGCTTATTGCAGTGGTAAAGTTGGTGCTCAGACTATGAGTGCAAATAGAAATCCTGACTTATTTCTGTTGGAAAGCACAGGAGAAATGGCTTTGCCTGCTAATGAGCTACTGTATGAGGTCAACAGTTCAATTAGAGAATGAAGTTAATTCTGTTCTCTCAGCCTTAAAAACTCAACCAATCAATATTTACATCTGTATTACGTGGATGCATTATTGAAGAAAAAGAACATTGTAAAAAAGAGTTACCTTTAAAACAACTAAATCTTTAACTAATCAAGGCAGTACACTACAAGAAGCTACTGAGCTTCCCAGTAATAAGCAAACAGGGAAATATGCAAACAGCAGAAATGCAGGAAAAGCAGGAAAAAAATTACTAATATGGGGGGGGGGGAGGGCTGTTAAATCCCAGAACCACAAATAAATATTCGGTGCTAGCAACCTAAAAAAATCACATCCAATCCTGACACTCAATGTCTTGAAATTGAGTAATGATTCTTTTGAGGTCATCCCACAGGGCCAAATGCACAAACATCTCAATCTCTTCTGCCCAGTTCCTAAACAAAAACATATCAGCAGATGCTGATGGATGTAGAGATGGGGCGAGCTGCAATTACACCAGGAAATTACACCTGCCTCAGACTGGTGGCACAGAGAAGCAGAGAAAGACATTCAAGACTTTACCCTGCCTGACCATCCCTCTCCCATGAGCCATGTCCAATGTGAGGATTTAGTGGTGAGCCTGGACCTACACAAAACCAAGTACCATCAGGTAAGCACAGAAAACAGGACTGGAAAGTGCAACCAGTTCACCGCCTCCCCGAGGCAATAGGATAGCTCCCAGACTACTCTTGCTAAAGTAAACCTGTGATAGTAATTTACTGATTTCCAATGGCTATTCACCCCAAATAATCTGCAAAATGTGGCAAGAAAATTTAGTTCCAATA